TATCTAACCAGTAGACCAGGCATCCAGGTGTACCGCCGGAGTGTGTTTGGAATACTATTAATGTCCTTGTGTACTATCTAATCAGTAGACCAGGCATCCAGGTGTACCGCCGGAGTGTGCTTGGAATTGCTTTTATCAGAAGTTTCCTCAGTCATGTGTAGTTAAAATGACCATAGACTGCTGTTATTGTTAATTGCATTGTAAATAAGGATTGAAATATAAATGGATGACAAGTACTGCAGCCGCTTAAGAGCGATGTGGCGTGGCCTATTTTATGTTGTTATTCACACTATTATACCACTTTAAAATGATGCACTTGGAAAAGGTTCACTTTAGATATGATTTTCACTTTAGAATGTGAAATATTCTGAATACAAATTGTGTTGATTGCACGTTTTTTWAAAAWWTTTTTGTTTGTTACATTTTTCAACATTTTGCGCGCAATCAAAAATCGAGTGATTAACTGACTTCGATACTATATTCGCGTATAAATGATTTAAAACGCTTTCATTTGCAGTTCCATAGCTCTAATAAGATTTGAAAAAAACTGATAAAGTACAGTGATTGTAAATAATATCCACAGAAGATATTAGTCTCCCGAGGGAAAATAAAACAACCGAGTTATTACAGCTACATACCAGGAACAACTTGCTTTCATTGATAACTTCTGGCATATACACAGGGCCTAAGTAAATTATTTGGTCGACCACCGGTRCGCGGTGAATGCTGAAAACACTTAAATAATCGACAATCAACTTTTTGTGTTTAACAAAGAATSATTTGAATTATTGAGCAGGACTAGATTTTACCTGCAGTCGACCGAAAAAAATTCGTGTGCCGAGAGTAAATCCAAGAATTGGAATAGGCGAAGCCACAGTTCAAAAAATATACACCTATGACATGTTGAAAATATTTAGTTACGGATAAAGGACTGCGACAAGCACAGGGAGCCCGGCTTTAGAATTTGTACATGAATAAAAAAAATCAATAAGTGCTTTATTGGGTTTCCTGTGTTTAGAGTTTGTTCATGAATAAATGAATCAATAAGTGCTTTATTGGGATTCCTGTGTTGAGATTTGAAACAAGGCGCTGATACGTTGAGTTTCCGGTAATCGTACTAACCAGTAACTTGATAGCAGATTAACGTAACGTATCAGTGTAACGCACGCCCTAGTAAATGGTAAGAAAGAGAGAAGGGCTGAAACTAATTTGAGTACCTATTTTGAAACCGCCGTTAAAATAATTCGCCATGGTTAAATACCAGCAAATACAGCACCAAACGATCACATGACAAATAAACTTAACGACAGCATGTCTTATTTATAGRRWATATTAATCTGTGACACACAAAACAATGATATTTGTAAGCCATACTTTAAATGTATGTGGACCAGTGGTTGATGVGACCAGTTAGCTCTACAACCGTGACCTCTCTGGTAAATATCTGCTTTCAAACAATAGACTTTGACAGATTCATGACAGTTTCATTGAAATGCAGCATTCT